ATATTGTGCATTTATCTTCAGAAAGGATTTTTGAGGATATAGTAAAATTAGGAAGAGAGTTTCCATAGATTGTGATATTACCATAGTACGTAAGCTTGTTAGAAATTGTTAACGTGATCAAGGTGAGATCAGAACCACTTGGGCCTCTTATTGTTTTGTTATGGATTCCATAGATTTGACGATATGGCATGTACTTGCCTATGACTCTTGGACTTGATTAACTCATTGATTGGGTTAAACTTGCACTTTGATAAATACCCACCCATGGTCATTTATAATGTACAATTTCATGTTGTTATTAACTGCTGTTTTTTATTTCAGATTATAAAAAGTTGTGGCCTGAAGAAATAAAGCAAGCACTTCATCAAAATATGATCCTGGACCTAATCACAGGTTGAATTAAACAGTTTATAATTTATATCTGGAAAGAGACAAACTTTGATGTAACAGCATGAAAAGTCTTAAGTCAGACAATGATGCAGTACTGTATTGCTGTAGTACCTACTGGACAAAGTCCACCAAGATTTAAAGATTTACAATTAATTTGTAAATCCAAAGAGGAACATTTGGAGCATGAGACAAATTTGTGGAAGTTCTTTGGAGAACCAAATGGAACTGACAATTTTTTCTACCTGGAGTAAACAATTTATTTTCTTTGGGGTGGTTGCACATATTACAACTGAAACAAGAATAACAAGAACCAATGCAGTGCCTTTTAATAGAAAAAAAGAAATAAAGGTGCAAACAAAGAAATTTATACATATTTGCATACACAGTAAATAGCAACATATTTATCCTATTTTAAAATGGAACAGAATCGTGGATCTGAATGCTCAAATTCACATGTAATACAAGAAATCTCTGAAATGTATGAATTGTTTTTTTTTGTAAGTTGGATGGTTGTTTTTCAGGTTGATCATTTTTGTTTAAAATGGGAGATCTATGATCTATACATTGTTTTATAAATAAATAAATAAATAGTGGCATCTATTCCTAAATTTGCCATTCATAATTTAGGTAAGACATGCACAATTCACATTTTCAACACTTGAGAATATATTTTTGAATAAATTTGAATGACTGGCACAAAATGCATCAACAGAAATATACCATTTTCTTGGAAACCAGTTGATATTAATCTTCAGCTACTTTACACTTACAATGTTAAACAGGTGGAGCTTAATTATGCCGATTGTTTTTCCCTTTGAAACTTTTTATATATTGACTTCTTGTTTGATATGTGAAAGAAACTATTTTTAGGGAAATTTTAAACTCTAGATTCATTTTTGATGAATGGAATTGACAGGCAATAAGGGCTTAGGAAAGTAATTTGAGTGAAAAATAAGTTGTTATACTGAAAATCAATGTAAGCATGTAGTAAGTAGCATTAACCAGTGCACTGTTGTTGCAGTGGTCTAAGTAGGCTAATAAATTAGTCTCACACCTGTAATGATATGACACATTGATATGAATGACATTTTTGGGGCTGATCTCTCCAATTCATTAGGATGTGCATATTTGCAGACACTTTTTCATATGCACACATTGGTGTACATTTGATACACTTACATTATTTCTCACAGCTATCAAATTTCTTTTGGTTGATGGGTTCTTTGGCAATATGTACATACTTTTTCCAGATAACATCATATTAGTTACTAGTATTATGTCCTCTGGCCATTTTGCATTTTGTACATGATATGGTTAAGTTACATGAGTTGCATTCAACAAAATTGCACATTTTAATGAAAAAGAGACATCATACCCACATACAGTCAATCTATCATTATCTAAACAGATTTAAGGGGTTGACTTTTTGGACTAAGGTCAAAGCACCTGATAAACAAGGAAACCTCATTTTTTCTCTATACTGGCAAGTGTAGATCAGTTTGAATAGGAATCCTTTTGCTGGTTCTTTTGTACAAATGAATATCAAATTGGCTGATTAAGTCAGTGTATTAACTTATGCACATGTTATGCATGTATATTGAATTCTGAAGAGTCAGTTCAATTTTCTTACAATGTAAGCATAATATAACCTGTAACAGGAAAAATTATTGGATTTTGTGGGGCCTAAAAGAAATATAACTTTGTTTCCAGTTTCACACTAACCCTAGAAATTTATCTGACCTTAAAAATTACCTAACATTTTTAAAATGTAAAAATAATTTTGAAATTTAAGAATTCTGTGAACAGTCCAGATTACTTAAGATGCTAGCTATTGAGGCAAATATTTTTACAGCTACTGGACTTAAGTCTACAAAGCATGATTACAATAGTTACATGTACATGCTATTTGCTGACTATGGTTAGCTTCAAATTTACAACAGGTAACAGATAAGTGCAAATAACTGATGTGAGAGAGAGTTAGTTTACCTATTGTATAACATAGTATTGTGAGTAATACTGACATCTTTTTTCAATGGAAGAAAATTAGGTCAAGCAAATGTGCTTTAAGCAGATGGAGGAAGGAAGAAGGAAAAGATTTCTAACTGACCAGCAATATCCATTGTAGCTTGAAACTGGAAATATTTTTTTTATTTAGGCCTCAGGTTATTTTTATTTATACACCCGTCATGAATAGATTGTATGGTAGTCTTACTTGTCATTGTGTAGCATGCATGCCATCATGGTTTGTTTCTAATAAAGTTTAACTGAAGATGGCATTTGTTTTAATTTGATTCATCTTTTTATGCATGCATCTGAATTACTAATTATTGTAACAAAATTATTATTGTGAATACATGCATCTTTTTTAAAGGAAATATCTGTGTGCTCTTTCTTTGAAGTGTGATCACATTTGTGCTTCCTAGTTCCATCATGGGACTAATGAAATTGCCTGTAGTCTGCATAAAAATAGGCATTTAAAAATTGACTTATTATGAGAAACACTATTTATGGTTATCTGTCCATCTCTCTGCCATTTATCTTTTAAATTTGTATACTCAAAATTATGAAGATGATTTTACATACAGTGATTAAGATAAGGGTCTCCCTGTAGTGGCCACCATTTTCATTTATGATCAAGTAGACCATGAGATGAATGTGTTTTGTAGCAATCCTAAAATAGTTCAGGTGGAGTTGTGATAACAAACTTGTGCTAATAGATGCATGGACAATGGTCTATCCCATAGCTTTTTTTATTCATGTCCAAATAGAGCTGAAAAAGTCGCATTCTATTCATTAACACAAATATAACTTAATTTTGTTTTCACCATAGAAATAAATGTTCTCGTTTATGGTCTTTCATACCCTACCGAGATGCTGCCAGTCCTGGGGATCATGGGTATCTTGCAAAGTAATCCAATGTCACTCAACCTATTGAACCCTATTGCACATTACCTGTGGTTCCTGGAATTTCTTGTACCCAATGCACAATTTTTGATCAGGCTGATCTTGTCTTTTTTTGTGCCTTTTCTCCATGATCTCAATTAAACCTATATCTTGGGAGAACACTGAATACATTGGAGATCTGTTGGAGTACTGCAGAAACTAAGGAGATATTCTAACTGAATTATTTCCAGGAGGGATATAGTAAAATAATTCATCAATCAGCCATTAGAGAAATGTCTAAAGAGCAACATCAGTGTCATGTTGAAACAAAAGAAGATAAAGTCTGGAAAGATCATATGTTAAGGAGGAAATGAGAATGAAATATCTGATATTTTGCTGCTAACCAAACAGCACAGATAGTGGTGATACAGAAATAACTTGTGATGTTGTTTACTACTGTTTAGGCCTTGCAGTAAATTTGATACATCAAAAGAAATATGCAAAGAACAATGTGCCTGAAGTGTTGAAAACTGCATTTTAGATATATATATAAATCCTGAAAACCAGGTCATAACTGTAGAGATTCTGCCTTTATAAAAGCCAATTCTGAAAATTCACACTACTCTGAGGAATAGGAACCACAGACCTTTGAAAACTATATAGATATATGGAATGGAGATTTATTTTAATTTGTGCCATAGATATTGACATTTTCATACTACATTGCCCATTTCAAAGGCTTGTGAACTAAATTCTGTAACTGTAAATTGGTGACTATACAGACATTTGGTCCAAAAAATAAAGGCTTTTGAAGAGTGACAAGAAACAAAGATGAACATTACCAGCTGAGTGATCAACAATTTGGTATGCAGAAACATTTATTGTCAAAGAAATAATAACAAAATCATGAAATGCTCTTTTTAAATTGTGTTTCTCACATTATATTAATGTCGTTACCCACCAGCAACCATTCCGCAGTTTTACCCTGACCCCCAATGATCCCCCACTACTCTTTCATAGGTGTGGGCGACCTGCTCCTCTTAGCAAATTATCTGGCAGCAGCTGTTACAGGTACCAACATAGGTTTGTCAAAATCACTGAATTTTTCTGCATGGCAATGTTTACAATGGCTTTTACAGGCCTTCTTAAAGTTGTATAGCAATCATCTGTGTAACTGTTGATCACACTCTGTGGTTGAACATTGCAGATCATCACCTATTGTCACCAAACTTGCATAAGACTTCTATCTACTTTTTACAATTATATCTTTGTGGTATTTCAGTACTTTTTCAACTATAATTACATCAAGGCTGTATCTTCAATAACATTCAATTACTACTTACCTGTATGTATTTTCAGTGAGTTTGCAGCATGGAGCAACTTGGTGAGATGTACCATAATTTGGCCAGTCTTGCTTTTTGATGCAATTCGATCCTGGCTGGAGTTTGTTGAATTTCATCCATCATCAGAAAGATCATTTAAAATGTTTAACAGTAGTGACATTAGATGTGATTATGATTTTTAACTTAGCTTTAAAATTATTTCAGTCATATCGCTACGATGTCTGCATTGTGGCAATTTTTTGTGATGCCTATCACTGGGGCATCATGCCGCAGACATGTAGCATATGTCCCACCCAGTATATCCTGACACTATCCTAACAGTAACTTCTTACTGTTGAGCATCAAGCATAGCAGATGTTAGTACCATTTTGTAAGTCTTTGGTATGATTTGGCCAGGGTTCGAACCCACGACCTCCCACATCCAAGGTGGATGCTCTAGACCACTAGGCCACCTGAGCGGTTAAGTGAACCTCAAGAACCTCAACAAAAAAACCCCTAAAATATTTTCACCTTGTCAACCTTAAACAATTTGAAGGAAACCAGATTTTTGTTTTAAAAAGTTAAAAATGTAAAAAAAAATTGGATGGCTCTACCCCCATTTCTAAATTAAAATGCTTTTTCGTAGTTTTTCGTTCGGCTAGCCTAGCAGTCTAGAAAGTGCAATAATTATGAAAATGAAAGACGCCCAGTTATCTTGTTCAGTCAATTATTTGATACACCAATAATGATGTATCACTGGATCATCAACAGCATATTTCATCAAATTTGCAATAAATGTTATACTCACCATGGAGATAATCTTGTAACTACTTTTTTCTTAAACCTCAATTTGTTTTTTATATTTTGAAGAAAAGGAAAAAATAAATGCCTCAAATTTTAATATTGCACTTTTATCACTGTGAAGAGCTGAAATGGTCAAAAGTGGAGATCTAAAATTGATTGAATAAGGGCAAGAACTCCATTAAAATTGGTCCTGAAAAGACAACTTTTAAAAGAAATGTCTATATTTAATAATCTATTCATCAATTAAATGGCACCCAAGTATAATTTTCAGTTATGGTGCTTTCAAGTGTGAATAGATGGATAAAAAATTTAATTACAATAGGGTCACTACATCAAAATGCAGGTCTTTCTTTGAGTCAAAGCAGTTGTAAACATTGCATATTTAGTTAAGTTTTATTTTTAACATTATGATGACCCAAGAAACAATAGTGTCAATTATTACAGGTTTAACTTCAATCATGCTGAGCCAGGAGAGTGACATCCCCCATGGAACAAACTGCAGAGTGGTATTGTGCTAGTCACACAATGAACATACTTTCCAGACTCTTGTATACCTCCAAATGGGTGAACATCTACCGGATTATTGTGTGACAACTTATACCATGTGGAACTAAACATTTTTTTTTATGTTAAGTAGACGAATGAAATTAAAGATGATGTAGCATCTGAAAAAATCTTGTACTTTTTTTGAGGTAGTGCAAATTATAGGAGAGATCATGACCCTATAAAGGATTTTACATTTTTATGCCTTTTTTTAAATACTGTACCTTACAGAATTGTAATATCTGTATATTTAAATTTCTGTTTAGTAAATCATTTTTTTGAAAGCTTTACCTTCCTATCTTTTTTTTTTGCAATGCTTTTTATTTACATTTTTAGAAATGGACTCTTTATGTTGCCCCTTTGATCATTTTGTGCTGATGTGCCATAAAAATACTACATACATAAGGTTATGAGGATATCACAGAAATATGTAACTGGCACACAAGATCCCAGGTGTCACACATTCAGTTAATATGACTAATGTAAAATTCATTCACTTTCTGCCAAGATACTAGCAAATGCAAACAAAAAAATCTTGTATAATACATCTAGACATTGTGAACTAGTTATCTTGGCAGCATCTGGCATCCACAAAATCCAAGGTTAAAGAATCAGTTAAGTGATTTTGTCTATAGCTGTCCCTTGATCATTAAATGATAAAATGTGTGTATAACCTAATTCCCATAGGAACTGAACAGTAACACAATGAGGTGGGGTGTGTGTAAAAAAAAGCACTAAAAACAAGCACTTAATCCCTATGTTAGTAAAGAATAAAATGTTGGCTAAAGAGTGTAGTACAACACAATGATGTATACATTAAGTTTCTAAACTGGAATATAAATAGCACTTAATGAATGAACTATAAACACACAATTTAAAAACTGCCACTCGTGTGTGAATGCAATGAAGTGAAGAACAAAAAGACAATATATAGACAAAGTTCTTTACTGATATATATATATTTGTAGGACCAGGTGTAAAATGTTACATGAAACTCAATTTAAAATTAAATCTTAATTTGGCAATCATCATAAGGATTTGAAAAAATTGCACTGTAATAAATTATTGAATGATACAATATTAAAATCCAGTAACAATTTTCAACATCAACAAAACCAAAGTTGATGACTGTAGAAGAGATATCAGTGACTGAATATACTTTAAATGAAAAAAAAATGAATGGGGAGGTGTCCAATCCAAGAGTCACAACACCTCTAAAAGATGAGCGAGTTGGAATGATGGAAATCAAAATTATTCAAGATCTTATCAATATTAAATTTCCAAGGTAAAATAATGTGCAAAATAAAAGTAGAAGGACTGGCATTCAAGGACTTTAACTTTTAAAAAATATTGTTGAACAAAGAAAATTTAAATCATTCAACGGCTGATCAATATAAATAAGATGCCAAATTTGGTTGAAATCCAATAATCTTTGGGCAAGTAATTCTATACAAACCAAATTCAGGAGGATGGGCAGTCATGACCAGGCCATAACTCCTGTAAACTATGTCACAGAAGGCATGAAATTACTAGCATTCAAAGACTCCTCAAAACAAAGTTGATGTTGAATTTAGTTCAAATCTAGTAATCCTTACTAAAGTTATGCTGTTTATACAAAAGTCAGAAGCATAGAAGGGGGGGGGACTCCTGTCCATACTATTAAGGAACGATGGAAATTTTATATATGGTTTAATCAGTGTCAAGTACATGCTAATTTGGTTCAATTATGCTGTGGAAAACTAAAGTCAGAAGGGTGGGAAATCTGGAATCACAACTTCTGTGAACAAATTTGTGGAATGCTGTAAATCAAACTCATTCAATGTCTCGTGAATACAAACAGCTGTATGCTAAATATGGTTAAAATCCAACAAATCTATGTCAAGCAGAATCCAAAGTCAGAGGTGCTGGCAATCAGGTGGCACAACTTATGTAAGTAATTTCACGGAATCAAAACTCATTCCAAGCCTCATCAATATAAAGTCACATGCCAAATTTGGTTTAAATCCCAAAAACCCAAGTCAAGTTATGATTTAGAAGCTAATGTAAGGATAGAGAAACTCTGGGACCATAACTCCTCCAAATAATGACAACAAAGATCAAAATCTTTCAATGTTTCATCCACATAAATCCTCATACCAAATTTGATTAAAATCCAAAAATTTCCAATAACAAAACTGCTGATGAATGAACTGCTGGTTCGAGCGACCACAAGATATATAGGGCTCTGATAACTTCATCTATCATGGCTCTGGTATCAGGATAAAGTGCAATTCATGCCAGGATAAAGTGCAATTCAACTACTGTTCCCTAATTAATTCCTGACACAGAACAGTGATAGCAAACAGCATACATAGTAAAATAACCAAGATGGCCAGGTCAAAGAATGAATTGTCTCAGGTTCATAATTCACCCCACACTGAAACAAAACTCATTAAGCAATTTAGGAAATGAAAGCAAATGAAAAAACTTAAAACTCTTATGGACATCTTTTTTATTGTGCAGAAACAATTTTCTTCTTTCATTGACCCTTACAATATTCATTGACCCAATAGTCAATCAAAGTATTTATTACCCAAATGCAAGCTATTTACAGAGTTTGATTGTGAATGAATATGGAGAACTCAACTTACTGTACAGAAATGAAATTAGGAATAGCAAGATTGACGGATGGATAGACTTCATAACTTGAAATGGACTACCTTACAAAGACAAATAAAAAATATGAATGAATTAACCATATTACACAAAATAATTACCATATTTTTTCATCTATAATATGCACCTGTTGTAATCAACATTGACTTGAATCGACTGCTGTTTTTATGCATTAGCCAATTACTCTAGTAGGTTTGAACATTTCAAGTGAACCATGTGTATGAAGGCAAAATATTGTATCTGTTCACACACTGACAAGTGCTATACACATGGAAATGTGGTAACAATTTGTGGAATTTACCACATGATACTTTATAATGGTCAAGTGAATGCACTATAAGATATTAAAACTCGCGTTGGTGATATTTGTCTGGATCATAATAAGATGTCACCACTATTCTGTTGGAGAACTTCCTTCCTGCCAAGGCTTGCTGCGCCTTCTGGCAATCAATCACAGAGTTGAACTCCACAAATATCTGAAAGGACACAAAAAGAAGAAGTGAAAATCTAAGAACCAAAATTTAACTCCATTTGCAAGAATAGGTAAACTGCAAAGATCAAATCAAGAAAGGGCCATAACTCTATTAAAGCATTTAGTTAATATGAAGATTATGGAAACTTCAATTTTTCTTTGTAATATTTTACAAAATTCATGGTATAGAGATTCCTGGAATGAATGTACACAGATGGACTGATTTTCCACATTAATTTTAATTTCAAACTTTTTCTTAATTAGAAACATGGGGAAACAAATGTATATAGCAAATATTTCAGCCCTATTTTGCTGCAACAAGAAAAATTGTGAGGAAGTGAGGAACAGAGATAATTAGCCCTGCAAAAACATTCTGGATACATATTTCTGTGATTAAGAATGCTAACTCTTTATAGATAAAACCTTTGGATCCAAGTACTCATAAAAGTAGGAAAACGGCACAGAGCCTGTCTGTATGTTCATTTTATAACAGCAGATTAGTCTGGGCATACCCAGTAAATTTTGTTATGTATATATGTAACTGCTGCACTGATTAGATGTATGCAAAAATATTTTCATTTCTAATATAATAATGTTTACCCATAAGCCGAAGATCGAGCTTTAATCAAATTGGGAAAAGCCTATCAACAGATGAAGACATGACATTTGTCACCTTTACATTTGATTTCAACATTTTAAAGTTTAATATAAATCGAGAAAAAACTTTCACAGCAATTACATTTTTTTTCAGCAATCTGATTTTAAATAACTTTTTTTTTTAAAAAACATGAAGATACGAGACAAACTTATCACAATTCAAATGCATACAGAGAGAGCAAGAGAAAGAAATATAAACCCAGTGCATGAAGGCACCTGCCACTGATGGTGATAGGAACAAAATAACCAAGAGAATATTATATCCATGGTAATGACAATATCTTGCATATAAAAATCATTATTAGAAAAAGCATTCACAGTGAGTGCAAATGACAATTGTTTAGCTTA